CCTGCTGCAGGACGGCCTCAGTAACACGGTGCAGACTCGACGGCTGCAGACGCACCAAAGAGTCGACCCAGAGTCAGGAAAGGACCCGTTTTTGTCTCGTTGACGTCAACATTTGAACTGTGAGCATAAACTAGCTCTTCAATTCTTATGAAATTCGTTTTAATGCCAACATTTCCTTTTAACTAAAAAGGGGCGGAGCCTAACTCCTCTTCAGGATGAAGCCTGAACTTGTGCCCCAGACTTAACCCTTCCCTCCCTGACAGAGCAGTTCTGATGATCCCAGAATCTGAATCATTGTTATCTGCACACAGTCTGAATATGATCTGCACACAGTTCCCATATCAGGATGTTTGTCTCCAGGTGAAGCAGACAAAGGGCTGATAGTGATGTGAGAGAGAATCCTGCCCCACTGACGTCAGAAAGTCTGAGTGCAGAAACTGAAAGAGAAAAGAGGAGGAGGCCAAAAAAGACGCAGCTTTCCAAATGGTTCCCACCATGGTGATGACCGGGAACAAGGAAGACATAAAGAAAGCCAGGCTCAAATAACGGAGGTTGTGAATATTGCTGTCCGCGAGACTCACTGTGGCTCGAGTTAACACAAAGAATCACCTATACATTAAAGTTGGTTCTTTTAAATATATATTTTTAGACAGAAACAATGAAAACTGATAGGAAAGGGTAGCAGGCACGCGGCAAAGGGCCACAGGTCAGATTTGAACCGGCAGCTCTCCGCCACGCAGCATAGGGTCGCCTGCTCACCCAACTGAGCTAAACCGGCACCCAGCTACACGTTAAAGTTTCAAATAAAAGAGAGTAATAGAATATAAAATAAAGAAGCGTCAACCTGAGATGAGAAGTCTATGCAGTAAAAAAAACACGCATACTCTCAGACGTCCGCTGGGACAGAAACTAGACTGTAGGCGACAACGTCCAGCACAAGCATTTTATGAAAATATTGACGCGTGGTCTGTGCCAACTCCAGCAGGAAGTCTTCATACATTTGGTTTGTTAGCCTGAAACCCGACTCGACCTGAAAGGCGAAAATCAAACAAAATGAAAGCGTCTCTCAGATATCTGGAACCGTAACCTGAGGAAAGTGAGCGTTCATCAAAATGTGGAACCGCTTCACGATTTTGCGTGTCATCCTTGCGCAGGGGCCATGCTAATCTTCTC